GGGGCCCCTCGCACCACACCCCGCACACTCCTAGCTTTACGTCTCGCAACGGTCAAATCTAAGTTTTTCGGTACCGTTATCGCATAAAGGTTAAATACCGGTATAGCTTTAATTTCGGTACACTTATTTTATACCGGTACCGTACCGTTATACCTTAACCGCTTTCAGTCCCTGATTAAAACCCAGTGATGATACTGTGCTCGACCCGGGAATCGAACCCAAGACCCCATGCCCGGCAGTCGCACTTAAGACCACTCGGCTCGTTGACCGGCAGCAATAATGTTGCAGTGGTTATGATAAGGGCATTCATCAGGAGAAACACTAGATAAAGATAAAGATATGTTTATTTCTAAGTATATGGTACACTGAGATCTTAAACTAAATATGGAATCACATATACTACCATTTCTGGTGTAGAAATTTTAAACATGTTAAGTCCATGCCAATCATAATTCTCATTTGATACAATTATCTTAATTAATTTAAATTCATTGAAAAAGAATACATGCTAGCTGTATAAAAACCTCAGGAGTATACAATATTCAGGTACCTACTTACCCTTTTTCCAACATAAACCGCCATAGATCAAATGCGTGGGCTTCTGATCGTTTAATATGAAAAGTTTTATAAAGTTAATGTTCTCCATATCTTTAGTCTGTATGAGAACAGAACATTGGATAACAAGGAAAAAAAGTATAATGGAAAGACCCGCCATATTGCATGAATATAGATTCAGAAACAAAAGAAGAATGAAGTCTTCATGATTTTTAGTCGTTTATGTCATTAGGCTTAGGTTAGAAGCAAACTTGCTACATAGACGACGGCTTTGCGATTCTGCGACTGCTTCGGTGCATGTGATTTTGTAAAAGCCTTTGACTGCTGACAGAAAACTGCTGAAGGCAAATCCTCCGCTAACGTAGGTCACCGGTGACCTCTGCGGCGGTTAACGTGTTAATGATTTCTTTAGGCATATTTAAGTGGATTGTTGTATTACCTACTTCGAAAAACAAATTATAGGTAACCATCTTTTGTCTTCTTTGTAGCATCCAGGTTAAATAGAAGCCTTATTGCATGTATACAGAACTGCTCATAAGACACGTAGCCTGTCTCGTTGATTGACAAAGTGCGCCTAAAATTAATTATCAATAATGACTCCAAAATGGCCATTATATTGATTCCTTCTTTAAAAAAAATTGCGGATCTCAATTGCCTCTTGGACTTACTATTGACTGCCTCGTTGGCCGAGTGGTCGCAGGTGCGACTGCCGGGCAAGGGGTCTCGGGTTCGATTCCTGGGTCAGGCAAACTATTACAGGGTTTTTAAAAAAAATCTTAGTAGTAGCATGGAGTCTGGAATTATGTCCGGTATATGGCAATAGGCTCACCCCCTATTACATGGGACTCATATTATTAAATAGTGAAAAGTGGGTGTAGTACATTGTACAGTGCCATTAAGTGCCGTAATGTGCACGTCTGCCTACCTCTTCGAGGATAAAAGGCATGATGTTATGTTATGCAGTTCTCAAAAATAATAAAAATCACACCCTGATACTGAAAGTCGCAAGTTTGTTTAGAACCTTATTTCTTTTTCGAGGTAAAACTAACATGACTTTGTTAACTTGGACTAAAGGAAAGTAATTGAGAACAATTTATGTAGACAGCTCTTCAAAACGTAAGTACCTAAAGCTGAAGACAATTTAGTGAACGAGTCAACTGCCTACCTGTGATCGAGCTTACTGTAAGCAGGTAATAAGTACAAATGTTTGTATGTTTGTCTGTCATCAATTCATCATCATCACATCATCTTCCTAGGTACCCTAATCCCCAATTAACTTACTCATAAGCAAACGTCGACGCTAATACTAAAACCAGCACTGTATTTAATATAAACAACAGATGCAACTCAAACTCCGCGCCAAAATGGAAAACAGTTGTGTATACTCTTTGGTTATGCCAATCTAACAACTACAAAAAACAAAAATTTGAATTTGGAACCATAAACAAATCATCCATTCCCGATACTTTTTTGACTGAATGTAGGTATTTTTTTTTTAAGGGCGGAAAATCATCGAATGACTGCTCCCGCCTGGGTGAGGCGGAAGGGAGTGTCAGACTCTTACTGACTAAAAACCACCCCGTTCCTTCTCCTGCACGTCGAGCCGGAGCCCCGTTTACCCGTTAGGTTCTCCGCGACACTGAATGTAGGCTTGTCTTTGAAGAAGCACTACTTATTTTTTATACTATAACTTTCATGGGATATACTAAATTAAACTGTCAAACACCAAGCGGTCACCGGTGACCGCAACCTATTGTTCTATAATTGTGTCTACAAAACCGGTACTCGACGAGTTAACTATTATGTTTTTCGTCTTGTTCACGTAATTATTTGACAAGGCACTCGACTACTTTTACTAGCTGCGCGGCAGTCGTCATGTGTTGGGCGGTTGTGTGTCACGGAATGCTGCTCATGATTATGAGCTTCTAGTATGGCTTGAAACTCGTCGAGTTCCTTGTCAAATAATTACATTAGGAAGCTGAAAAACGACATAGTTATGCTCTATTTTATCTTCGTCTTTCATTCTCCCCCAACAAAACACCATTCTCTTTTATAATAAAATTGTTCCTCGTTTAATTACATTCAATTGTTCCTTCATCTTCTCTTTGAGTCTTTTATTTTTTACCCATTTAGACCCTTCTCAGAACTGATTCATGTCAAGGAAGACTACCTTTCAACTTCTCTGTAACCGACTACTACTTCTACAAAGGATGCCATTTTCTTCCTAAAAAACGAAGCATATCCAGGGCATATCATTGTAGCCGTTTTGAAGGCCTACTTAGGCTTTCAAACTAAACATAATTGAATGTATTTACTCAGTATTATGAAATGAATATTTCATTACAAGTCTCTGTTTGACGTACTTGTAACTGTGACAGGGTAGAAAATAAAGAAATTGTTCGATATGAATAAAACACGCCTTGATTTTTGTCGTTTCTTTATTGTGAATGTCTGAGTCCAAGTTAAAATCTATTTAGTGATATTGTGTAGGTTGTTTTAAAAGGATTCCTTATCTCCTCATATTTCATTATAAGATTTAAGTAATTCAAAGATAAAGGTGAGGTAAGTAGTGTTAGTAAAATATATTTAATTCGGTGCAAACATATAGCTAATTCGAATTAACTATTATTAAACTAATTAAAATATTGCTGAAACAAAAGCATGAAGTTAGTAAATGTGAGTGAAGACAAATTTACTGCAAGAAGGGGTGCAGAAATACGGATGTGCAAATATGCATGCTTCCCAATACTTATTTCAAATTAAATATCTAACTAAAAGTTTTAGCTGTCAGAGTGAAATTCATTTTGTTCAGCGATTTGTTTAATTCTAATGTAACCTTCTACCTAGGTACTATAATACCATGTCGTGCTTTATCTGCGATATTATATTACAAATATTAAAATAGTGAGTAAATTCTATAAATATTTTCTAACACTATTTTGAATCGTGATAAAATGTCACGATTTTAATACATCTTTCTAGAACTTATTACTCAGTGTCGGAACGGGATGTGGTCAGGATCTGTAAGTGTTCTTTTCTGCTGCCTGATCGTCATTCTGAAATTACATGGAATCATTGTCATCAAAGGAGTAACTATTATTAGCGTTTAGTATAAACTTTGAAGTTTTACCCTCTAGCAACAGTACCACCAGCTTATCACTACCCAGTGCCTGTCTTTAAGAGTTGCACTCTCTTGGGACTAAAAAATACCTAAATTATTAAAAATATCTTATACATAGGTGCTAAAGAGAAGGGTAAAATATTTAACAAACGAGTTTTTTTTCTTCTTATAAATACAGATGTTTGAATTAGACAACTATTGTCTTTTATTCTAGTTCCATGTTATTTTTAGTAGTCTCCTCTAAAACTACAGGACCTTGAATAGGGTAAGTCCACCTGTTCGCGTCCACCCTACTAAAGTTCGCATGTTCGCGTCCACCGGCAAGTTCGCGTATGTTACGGGTCACCATGAATGTAAGATAGGTATTTAAAACTTGAAAAGGTCAAAGGGATGAGACTAAATACTATCTACTTATATGGTGGTACCTATTAATTTTTCAAGGGCTTTGTGTAACATAGACGCGAGCTAGTGGGCGGACAAGTGAATTTACCCATAGATACTTATTCATTCATAGGTATAAGATACTAGGAATTTACCCATAAATACTTATTCATTCATAGGTATAAGATACTAGGAATTTACCCATAAATACTTATTCATTCATAGGTATTTTTTTTTTAAGGGGGGAAAATCATCGAATGACTGCTCCCGCCTGGGTGAGGCGGGAGGGAGTGTCAGACTCTTACTGACTAAAAACCACCCCGTTCCTTCTCCTGCACGTCGAGCCGGAGCCCCGGTTACCCGTTAGGTTCTCCGCGACTCCGAATCGGCAACAGCCCTATTGGGCCCTATCTGTGGTGGTCTGATGGCTCTTTGAGGCGCGCGCGGAACGCGACGCTTTCAAGGGCTTTGCGTAACATGGACGCAAGCTGGTGGGTGGAATTTACCCAGGTACTTATTCATGTAGGATACTTACAATCGTTTATACGTAATCTCAAGCAGTAAGACGGCAGGAGCTAGCAGCATGCCATACAAGGTCATCAGCATAGCTGGGTACATGTCTGTGATGCCCACACTGCTGAAGGTGGACACGTGTCCTGAGCACCGAGGCCGGGCCACTGTCAGACGCTGGTGGACGTTCGCTTGCACCCCTGACTCTCTGATCTTTAGGAAGCTAGGAAAAAAATCAGATGCAAAAAGAAGTAAGTACTTAGATAATTTTGGCGATGGTTTTGTGAGTTTATTTATAAAATAACTAGCCTGCCTTTTATTATAGTGTAGGACTTACGTAAAGGTATGTACCTAAGTAGGTACATTTTTCTACAATAATAGTCCATTCGTTGACATTATTTTGGGGACTAAAACCTAGGTAACTCGAGACTCTACGAGAGCATAAAAAATATTTGTAGGTAAGTGAGGCTTACCTACAAATTACCTTTAAATATCTATACTTGATATTATAAAGTTTATAATTATAACTTTAAATATTATAAAGCTGAAGAGTCTTTTTTTGTTTGTTTGTTTGAACGCGCTAATCTCCGAAACTACTGATTCGAATTGAATAATTCTATTAGTGTTGAATAGTCCATCTATCGAGGAAGGCCATAGGCTATAAAACATCTCGCTACGACCAATAGGAGCCGATCAGAGCGTGTGAAACCGCGCGCAAGTAGCTAGTTTTTATATATGCAGTGAAACAATAATACAACTTGTGAATGTGCCTATTTCTACCTGCACCAATTTTAGACACAATTTAGCGTTAAATTCACTTACTTAATCTTAAAAAGATCTTTGAAAGGCGACCTCTTTTGTCCTGGCACCCAGGGGTCGATCTCGTTGATGTAATCAATTTCCACCAGGTCACACTTCTCGTCCTCCTGGTATGTCTCCTGGATTAGTCGGTATCCTGGGTTCAGCTCCATATGAAACGCGAATAGACCCTGTCGAAGTTTAGACTGTTTTGTATATTCTGCATACAATAGGTTATAGAATGTGTAGGTTAGCAGTGAACGGGAGTAGTGGGTTAACAATTGGGATGATGACAGGGTATGAAAATTAAAAATCTAATTAGTCCGTAAGCTAGGTAATGAGAAAATATTAGACACGTATTTTTTTTTATTTTGTCGTATAATAAAACAATACTTAGATAAAACGAATCAAAGTTTAGGAGTGGGGGCTAAAACGTCATTTCTACGTCAATATTATATCGTCGAAAGTATTCGTTTCTGTAAGAAAATAAAAAATACGTCCCTAATGATTTAAAAAATAATCTACCAGACGGACATTAAAATAAAAATTAGGCATCTACCCTATTGTCTATAGGGATAGTGTTGAGGGATGTAATAGTTTTTATGTCATTGATTGCTATAATTATATTAAAAAAACTGAAACTCAACAATGTTTAAATATACACCTATTATTGTGTCTCTCTGCATCACCCTAAGGTTGACTGTTAGAGAATGCCAATAAGCATTAAACCCGCCATTGTATACCCATTGGGCCAAAAGTGTAAATAAATAAATATGTATAATATCCGCTTTTGAAAGAATATACTTTTCTATATAACTTCAGTTTCCTCCCCGCGGTAAAAAGGCTCGATGTTAAGTTATGTCAAAAATTGTAAACAAACAGGAATAAAATTTTCATTATTTGTACCTGCTCACTAGGTCGGCTGTTTTTTTTATGAATCTTTTCGTGAATATTTGTGAGTATTTATTAACTCGTGGAAGGTGATATTACTGATATGAGGTACAAAAATGATCAGTGATCACGTACTTTTAATTGTAGATATCATAATATAATCACGGTGATCTGATAACAAATACAAATTTAAAGGACAAAGAAAAAGTTGACCATGATCTTAATAAATCTATAAAAGATACAAAAAGAAAGAAAGGAAGAAAAAACATTTATTTGGCAATTACACGCACAGAAAACAAAGAATATAAAAAATAAAAATACATATATATAAACAAAATACTAATAATAAACTTACAAGAATAGAGATCAGAACAGAAAACATCACAATATAACAAAATAATAATACGATGATAACAGAATTGTGAATAGACAAAAAAAAAATCTAATCAACAAAATAATAATATTAATTTGCGCGTGCTCATGCCAAAAGGGCCTCCACCTCAGCATATAGTTGGACGCTCTGCCCAACGCTGGTTTTCAGGTGGCACCCTGCAGTGACTCACAAAACTTCTATCTCATACAAGCACAAAACAAAATTATAAATTAAGAAAACCAAAACAACTTTTTAAAAATGATAAGATTAAAACAAAATTAAATTATTTATCAACAATTTTTGAAATAAATTAGTAAAAAGTAATCGACGAGGATGGGATTCGAACCCACGCGTGCAGAGCACATTGGATTAGCAGTCCAACGCCTTAACCTCTCGGCCACCTCGTCATGTGGAAAGCCGCTCCAAATAAGGGCCTGGTATATAAGTACCTACTTACATTGTTATATTGATGAATATGAGTGGATAGAATTGTAAACCTTAAAGTCATAATATTAACAGGGACTGTACAAAAAATTGTAATAAGATGACAAAAATATATGTGGCTTTGTGTTTATGCACTGTATTAAATGAAAGTGTAAAATATTTATTAATAATTAGGAAGATTACAGCAAAAATAAAATCTAAATAGACCATTTTTGCTTAACAGACTCGATATTTGCATTTATTTAAACAGATGTTTTATTTTATAATTATGCATTTTATTACTGCCTCGTTGGCCGAGTGGTCGCAAGTGCGGCTGCCGGGCAAGGGGAATCGAACCCGAGACCCCCGAGTTCGATTCCCGGGTCGGGCAAAGTATTACTGGGTTTTTCAAAAATTCCCAGTAGTAGCACGGAGTCTGGAATTGTCCCCGGTATATGGCAATAGGCTCACCCCCTATTACATGGGACTCATAACATATATGTATAGTGAAAAGTGGGTGTTACATTGTACAGTGGCATAATGTACACCTCTGCCTACCCCTTCGGGGATAAAAGGCGTGATGTTATGTTATGTTATGCTTATAAAAAGGTTTATGGTAACCCACCTTTCTAATTCTCTCGACGCCATCTTTCATTGAATAGAAATTCGCCTGCTTACCCTTCGGTGCAATCTTCTTCTCGTATATCGCCTTACGTATTGGATCATTGAGTTTCTGTAAAAATTATTCAGGGAATAAAGGACATTTTAATTTATATAACTACATAAATATTTACAACTTAAAATTAACTACAACTAAAATTCTGTAAAATAAATTTTATTATAAACAAGGCCAAAAGGTCATTTAGGTACGGATTTTAATTGTTGGGTGCCAACTATAATAGGTAGGTACCTACTGTATTGTATTTCTTGTTCGGCCTTTTCCCTATCTAAATAGTGGCTATAACATGATATCGATGAAGTTCTAAGAGAGAGCTTTTTTTTAACGTGGGAAAATCATCGAGTGACTCTTCCCGCCTGGGTGAGGCGAGAGGGAGTGTCAGACTCTTACTGTCTAAAAACCACCCCGTTCCTTCTCCTGCACGTCGAGCCGGAGCCCCGGTTACCCGTTAGGTTCTCCGCGGCCTAAGTGAGAGCTAAGTGTGACTTTTAACACCTTCGTTTCTTGTTCCTCTAGGGTCAGAAGATTTGAATAAGTACCTACGTTTTTATTAACCTGCCTCGTTGGCTGAATGGTCGCAAAGTGCAACTGCTGAAAAAGAGTATCATATGGTAGCAAATGCGACTGCTAGCTGCTTTTTCTCTAAATATCAATAGTGGCACTGGAATTGTGCCCGGTATATGGCAATAGGCTCACCCCCTATTACATGGGACTCATAACATAAATAATGAAAAGTGGGTGTCACATTATACAGTGGCATTTAGTGCCGTAATGTGCACCTCTGCCAGCCACCTCGGGGATAAAAGGCGTGATGTTATGTTAGGTTTTTATAAAATTTCTAGACTTGATAATCATGAAGAAAACCGAAGATGCAACAAATGAAAAAGGAGTTTATTGTATCAGTAAAAAATGTATTTTCTAGGTTCCAAATCAATAAATCATTATCTCTCCATACCTTAAAGAAATACCGATTGTACTCAAAATCACTGGCGCCCAATTTGAGTGGAGAGTTGAGGAGATCAGGTAGACTTCTGACGGAGGAGCTGGGAGCTCGCAGCAGCACCACGATGTTAGCGGAGTACGCTGCGTAGAGGACTGTCAGAGCTATGAACAGGATCAGGGTTACGCAGCGACCTGAAGAAATACAAAAGAAAAGTCTTGTAGAGTTCACATCATACTTCATAACACGCATAAAATCACGCCTTTTTGCACCAAACGGGTAGTTAGAGGTGCCCATTACGGCACTTAATGCAGTGGCATTAAGTGCCGTATTGTGCACAGTGGTACAGACTTAACTGTAAGGCTTAACGTCACAAATATATGCCATCAGGTTAAACAGTTCATAGCAGTTCTAAAATCATGTTATTACCTGCACCATATCTTGGTTCCAGCGTACATCCTTGTTGCAGTACTGCGCCTATGATGAGGATCAGTACGTCAGCCCACGAGCCGTCCAGTTGCAAAGGATGCTAAAACATGGTTAACACGTTCATTGTGCATGACCCACGGGTGGGCCATATCGAGTTGCTTATTGTACGTGCATGACCCATCTGTGGGGCATGTCTTAACTAGATTATACGTGTATGCCACACGGATGGGGCTTACATTTATGAGATCATACATGTATGACCTACGGGTGGGTCAATAAATAAAAATATTATTTATGCGAAGGGGCATAAAAAATTTAAACAATGCTATTATAATATCAGTTTTATAACTCACGCAGCATGTTCTCAACTATTTGCTTTTACACTTATGGGGGTAGGCTCACTCATTATAGCTGCACAGTCAACGTATTAAAACTTGGGTGATAGATATACAATAAAAACTGAATTTTACCAAGCTCATCTTCTTGATTCTTAGCATGGTTATAGGTAATTGAGCTCGATACATGTTCGATGATGGATAACTTCCATTTTTTTTTTAATAATAGACAGGCTGACGTTTTACCACTACCTTGCCTGGTGGTAAGCGATGATGCGGTCTACGATGGAACAATTTTCAATATACAATCTTTCCAATTTTTTTGTATTATGTTATAAGTCATATAAATATTATAAAGCTGAGGGGTTTGTATTTTTGTTTGTTTGTTTGAACGCGCTAATCTCCGAAACTACTGGTCCGATTTGAAAAATTCTTTCTGTGTTGGATAGCCCATTTATCGAGGAAGGCTATAAGCTACAAAATATCACGCTACGATTAATAGGCGCCGAGCAGAGCGAGTGAAACCGTGCGAAAGTAGCTAGTACTTACTATTATATAAAGCGGAAGAGTTTGTTTGTTTTTTGTTTGTTTATTTGAACGCGCTAATCTCCTCAACTACAAGTCTGATTTAAATAATTCTTTTTGTGTTTGATAGCGCATTTATCGAGGATGGCTATAGGCTATAAAACATCGCGCTACTACCAATAGGAGCTGAGCAGAGCGTGTGAAACCGCGCGGAAGTAGCTAGTTATGTTGTAAATCACATGTATTAGAACGTGCCTATTTAAAATCATCATATAGTTTGAAAACTACACAAAACTATAAACAAACTCACCATACCCATGCTGGCTTCCCACTTAGAAGCTATGTACAAGAATATGGAGCACCCCAGCACACAGATGAAGATGGCCAGCCAGACGGTGCCGGAGAATGGCAACGTGAAGATATTAGAGATGTAGGAGAGGGGGGGTTCTCTGAACACGAAGCGTACGGCAGTCGTGCCAACCATTGCTATGTAGTCCACTACGTCCATGCGCTCTTGAGTGAATATTGTTAAGGTTCCTACATAAAAAAATTGATTGATAGCTTAGATAAATCATATTACGCACTCAGTACAATTATGATGAGTTTTATAAGTCTAAATTTAATGTCGTGTTATCGTGTTGTAATACTTTATTTTACTCATCTAGAAAATATTGCTTACGATAGATTACTATTATAGCAAGAAAACTTACGAGCCATCTTGCGGCCCATAAGTAGCCCAAGAACCTTTACACCTGTAATACCAGTATTACCACATCATCATCAACAGCATATAAGTGGCCACTGCTGACCAAAGGCCTCTTCTCACACGGAGAAGGTTGAGCATTATTCATCACATTTGCTTAATGCGGGTTGGCGATTTCAAACTTATAATTAGAAATTTTAATCCCAGGTTTCCTCACGATGGTTTCCTTCATCGGGAATAAATGTACAGGGTGCAACTTTTACAGATTTTAGTCGGTTCAAAAACCGTGTGCGGCAAGCGAATTTTAAAAATATGTGAATGCAGTTTTGTTTCTTTTCCAAAATAAAAGAAAGATTTCTTTGAGTAAAATTTTAGCCCTTCAGGTGGCATTAAAAAATTCCACCCTGTACAGAAAACTGTTTAGTATTGGTATGATTTATCAAACGAAACGTACACAGAAATATTATGATAATAAAGTATTGATTGTGATGGATATCATGCACCTTGGACACTTATACCATAAGTGACTTCTGACCATATAGGTACTTATAATAACTATCGTGAGACATACTAAATTAACTAAAAACGCGGGTTACACACGTGAATATGCTATTCTACTAAGTTCTAAAAGTTCTACTAGTTTCGAACCACAGAGGGGTTCTTCCTCATGAGCAGCGCGCGCGGTCGCGGCGACGTCGCGTCGTCAGTGTGCTGCTGAACCCCTCTGTAGTTCGAAACTAGTAGACCTTTTCTCAGTATATTCACGTGAGTAACCCGCGTTTTTAGTTAATCTAGGTACTTATTCTACTTTCTCATCAAAAAAAGAATCGTAATTCGAAAAACAAGTACCAATACAATTGAGACCCATCTTATAATCCAGTTTAAAATATTATTTTATAGTACAGTTAGAATTATAATTTATGCAATCACTTAGTGATTAATCAGACAGGAAATTAGTTTGGATCTAAATACCTTTTTAAACTAGTTCATATTAACGATTTCACTGAAGGTCAATGAACGGCGGAGAATGCTTTGTTAAACGCGAAATTCGTGCAAATTACGTTAGCATTCTCGTTTAGAGATGATGAGATCAAAACATGATTTGGTTTTGCCATGACCTCTAGTTTCAGAATCCAGTTTCAGTAACTCGTGGAATTCGCAGTCACTGCCAAAAATTTCACTTACAAGAGAATATAAAATTAACATTTTGTACAAGTTAAACTGAAGGTTGCAGATTAAGACCAGATTCACGTGCTTCAATAGGGATGATGACAGGGTATGAAAATTAAAAATGTAATAAAAAAATTTAATTAAAAAATATTAGGCACGTATTTTTTTTATTTTGTCGTATAATAAAATGATACTTTTTAGAACGAATCAAAGTTTAGGAGTGGGGGTAAAACGTCATTTTTACGCATAAAATGTTCATAGAAGTGACGTCACGCAACATTTCAAATCAATATATCTACGAAACTATTCTATTCCATAAAAAAAATAAAAATACTAATAATGTTTTTAAATAATCTACCTGACGGACATTTTAAATAAAAATTAGTCATCTAGCCTATTACTATCGGCACATATAAAGTGGGTACACAAATCTTCACATCACATCATATTGAAGAGTCGAAGATCAAGCTCAGTGGCTTGTTATTTGTGCACCCTATATTGGTATTTGGTAGGTCTATGCGCCTGGGTTTAATGACTGTAATGTTATTTCTATTTTAATTTAAATAAATAAATAGGAATGAAACAGGCTGTCAATTCGAAATGATGATAATTTGAAGTACTTCTACTTTTTGTAAATTAAATTCATTCATTCCTAGATTATAACTGCTAATTCTGCTAATCTTGTATGTACCTAAGCAAGATTCAATTAGAATAAAATGTATTTTTTTAAGGGGGAAAATCATCGAATTACTGTTCCCGCCTGGGTGAGGCAGGAGGGAGTGTCAGACTCTTACTGACTAAAAACCACCCCGTTCCTTCTGCTGCCGGAGCCCCGGTAACCCGTTAGGTTCTCCGCGACAGAATAAAATGTATGACGTGCTTAAGTATCCTTATAAAAAGATCAGAAAATACCCAAATCAGCATCCTTCTTCAGCAGATGGTCGACGATACCCTGCCATTGTCCGTTCTTGTCCTTGTACCCCCAAGTATGTGTGAAGAGGAGTCGCTCGGTCGCGTTCAGCATGTGGAAGCATATACTCACTACAGCGTATGACATCTTTGTTATGCAGTCCTGGTGTAAGTACCTGAGAGACGGAGGGTGAAAAATATTTTATTCAGAAATCTGTACATCTATCCATTTCATACATTTAAATGAAATAAAATGTGTGTTTGTAATTAACATAGTACATCCTGCCTTTTTATCCCCGAAAAGATCATCAAGGCAGAGGTGCACATTACGGGTTGCCGGGGCTCCGGCTCGAAGTGCAGGAGTAGGAACGGGGTGGTTTTGACTAACAACTGACACTCCTTTTCGCCTCACCCGGGCGGGAGAAGTCATTGGATGATTTTCCCCCTCAAAAAAAAAGAGGTGCACATTACGGTACTCCCACGATTCGGATACGGTGTTTTCACTATTCATATTATGTGTCCCATGCTATAGGAGGTGAGCCTATTACCATATACCGGGCACAATTCTAGACTCCGTGCTGCTACTGTAATTTTTTTTAAAAATCCCATAGTTCTTTACCCGACCCGAAAATCAAAGCCGGAAACCCCTTGCTAGGCAGTCGCTCTTGCGACTATTCGGCCAATAAAAAACTACTGATAGGTAGTATTATATTTGATAAGTAAAGTTAATATTTATTATGGATCTTATACAAGTCTAATAGCATCGTTAGTCCAACCACGTAGGAGATGACAATGAAACTTGGTCAGATAAAGTTGGCGATACATCAGAGTTCGGCCGACCAATAAGTTTTCTACGAACTACAAGTAACTAACTACGGGCATAACTATTAGATACATATAGTAGTTGTTGTCCGCGAGTTTGCTCCTATTTCTATATTAAAAGTAAGTAGAGTTAAATAAATAACATTTTTTATGGTATAAGCCGGCAAGCCGGTTAACGAGCAGATGAATCACCTAATGGTAAGCAATCGGCGTCACCTATGGACACCTGGACTGGATCACCAGAGGCGTTACAAGTGCGTTACCTGCCTTTTGGGGATTAAGAGTTTGAGGACTGTTGTGGATTCAGGGATTAGGGAGATTGGGGAAGGCGAGTGGAGTAATCGGGCTTCCGGTAACCTCACTCACACGACGAAACACAATGCAAGCGTTGTTTCACGTCGGTTTTCTGTGAGGCCGTGGCATCACTCCGGTCGAGGCGGCCCATTTGTGACAAGCATGGCTCTCCCACACATTTCCTTAATACACACGCGCCTACTAATGGTATACCATTTTAATTTCTCCATCGACTTTAAATTTGACTGCATATTTGATTACGCTACGCATGCTTGGCTTAGTAAGGCTTTTTTTAAGGGGGGAAAATCATCGAATGACTGTTCCCGCCCGGGTGAGGCGGGAGGTAGTGTCAGACTCTTACTGACTAAAAACCAACCCGTTCCTTCTCCTGCACGTCGAGCCGGAGCCCCGGTTACCCGTTAGGTTCACCTTGAGTCCGTAGCGTAACTTCGAACAATGATCTATGATGTAAACCACTATTATCTGATGTGTTTGTGCTATGAACACACCTGTTTTAGTGTAGTTATGACAATAAAAAAGAGCAAGAATTAAAAATAAAATAACGAGGAAGTCACTTTATCTGTGTTTTACTTGAAATCCGTGATTTTCGAAATTAAAAAGTCGTTTAAAGACCTTGAAAGTTGAATTAGTAAAAAATCTTCCTCGTTCTTAACAAAATAATATCTTACTGACTAGGCACATTCTAAACAATATCTAATAATAATTTGTACAAGGATTATGTCAACAAAACTTGAAAATAATAAAATGCAAGTATGTTGCTACGATGTAGGCGAAGGATACTCATAAATAGCATTAGGTATAATAATATTATAATAACTTCGTTTTAAGTAAATGTGTGGTCTATTAGCATATTTATGTTCTAAGAACATGAGCTTTGAGTGAAAATGTCTTGTTAATAAGGCAGGATCTAGTGTTAAGGGTCTTGGGCGATACATTATCAATATCAACAGTTCATTATATTCCTTTGCTTGAGTTTGGACATAACATAACTTCACGCCTTTTTCTGTTTGTAGACAGAGGTGTATGTACATTACAGCACTGAATGCCACTGTACAATGTAACACCCACTTTTCATTATTATATCTTACTATCGACCCGCCCCGGCTTCGCACGGGTGCAATATGCATGTATTATACATACAAACCTTCCTTAAGAATCACTCTATCTATTAAAAAAAACCGCATCAAAATCCGTTGCGTAGTTTTAAAGATCTAAGCATACATACGGACATACAGCGAAAGCGACTTTGTTTTATACTATGTATTGATGAGTCCCTTGTAATAGGGGGTGAGTCTATAGTCATATACATACCGGGCACAATTCCATACTCCGTTCTACTACTGAGATAAAAAAAATCCCGTAATACATACTTTGCCCAACCCGGGACCCCTTGCCCGGCAGTTGCACTTGCGACGACTCGGCTAATGAGCACGTTTACATATTCTAATGTAATTAATCTATGCATCTTACATTACTCCATACGTGACTTACAACTATCTAAATCTTCCAGTCGTGCTTATACTCACGGATTGATATAACCAGTTTCAAATACAAGTTTGCATTTTCAAGGAAATCTTTAATTTTTATATTTGACAGTGAATTATGGAGATTGGTATTATTCTTTGCAGATGGGAATAAAAACAATTTAAAACAAAATCATGTTAGCCACCCCCTGGGATACATGGGACTTTTAACATAAATAGTGAAAAGTGGATGTTACATTGTACAGTGGCATTAAGTGCCGTAATGTTCACCTCTGCCTACCTCTTCGGGCATAAAAGGCGTGATGTTATGTATGTATGCAAATCGATAAATTACATTACAAATTATATTAATCATGCTCAATATTTTCTTCAAAATTATGTGAATAATATGCATATGAAAATAAAAAAAGAAACATCTAGAGATTGGATAAATACACGTGGACATACAAGAATGCATTTATAATAGTCGTCAAAGAATGAAATAAATTACATTATTATAATAAAAAACCGTACATATACCTAAGTATTAATATGTAGGTATATAATAATATATTCTTGTAATGCACCGCAAATCAATACTTATTATTGTACTATTTAGCATTATAATGAAATAAAATGATGACTGAATTTTTAAATTATTATTAGGTATGTTTATGTAAATTCGTTTTCAAAATTTTTTCCGTGTTACTTATTGTTTTAATACTACTAATATACTGCTACAGTTATCAGTAGCAAGTTCATATGGAAAACATAATATTCGACCTTTACTTTAAGGTCAAATTAATTATTGTAAAGTGACTATCAATGGGTAATTAAAATGGGAACTTAATAAAGATATCTTATTTAAATTCGACCACTATACGGAAGACATAACCACAAAAAAGTAGGTTAATGTTATGCTAATAGCTGTCTGATAGTAGTACCATTTTATTCACTTGATTTGATGTGATTGCAGAGTTTCATGAACGGATCGGTAAAGTAGAATATAATTTTTAAATATACTTTAGGTTTTTGCTTTAGTTGTTTTAGGACTGCCTCGTTGGCTAAGTGGTCGCAAGTGCGACTGCCGGGCAAGGGGTCTCGGGTTCGCTTCCCGGGCCGGGCAAAGTATTACTGGGTTTTTTCAAAAAATCTCAGTAGTAACACGGAGTCTGGAATTGTGCTCGGTAAATGGCAATAGGCTTACCCACTATTACCGGGAAACGAACTTCATATTTGATATTATTTATTTTAAAAACCTAAAGTACATACATACATATATAATATCACGCCTTTTATCCCCGAAGGCGTAGGCAGAGGTGCACATTACGGCTCTTAATGCCACTGTACAATGTAACACCCACTTTCCACTATTTATGTTATGAGGCCCATATAATAGGGGGTGAGCCTATTGCTATATACCGGGCACAATTCCAGATTCCGTGCTACTAATGAGATTTTTTTTAAAACCCAGTAATACTTTGCCCGACCCGAGAATCGAACCCGAGACCCCTTGCCCGGCGTCGCACTTGCGACCACTTGCAGTGTACTATGTAAAATACTTACAGTCTATCATTCATATGCAGCCTCGTTTCGTTGCTATCTGTGATGACATTGACCATTGTCAGAGTATGTCCTCTCAAATCATATCTCCTTGAAGATAGAACATTGGAACTTCTATAGTCCTCCATCCATCCATATTTTGTAACAGTTACTTTTGAGAACATATTTGTATTCGTTGGAACACTTAATATGTTAGTTTTAGTAACGTTATACTGATACGTAATAGGTAAGGTGGTATTTTTGGTATTCGTTATGTTATCTTGATCCATGATAGTAATATTGTTTGTATTGTTGTCTTGTTTTGTTGTATTTCTTCTCCATATTAATCGTGTTGTGTGTATTATCTCGGAGTTTTCTGATATTTTGTAAGCTGTAACAGATATAAGTTTTTAATGATTTTATAATGTGTCTAACAATGACTGTATTATCGATCGAGTAAGTAGTCGTAAGCACGAATACCAAAGCAAGGTGACTCAATCTCAAGTTTGACTCTGGTATTAGGCAAAGTATTATTGAGGATTTCGAGAATTTCTCGAAAATGAAACGGAATTTAGAATTATATTATTACTAGGTACCTACTCCCGCGAGATCTTACTCGCTCTGCTCGGCTTCTTTTGATCACAGCGTGATGTTTTATAGCCTATAGCCTTTCTCGATATATGGAGTATGGACTATGCAATACAAAAAGAATGATGAATTATTCAAATCGTACCAGCAGTTCCTGAGATTAGCGCGTTCAAACAAACAAACAGACTCTTCAACTTTATATAATAAATGCAAGTAATACTGGTAGCCGGATATCAAATATCAACCCTGCGATGTAATTTATTTTTAAAATTAGTTTCTTAAGTGAGATTATAATAAATAATATAGTTATAAATACGTCAAATTATGTTAAATAGCATATATAAGTACTAGTAGGAGTGTTTTCCTGGTGATAGTGATAAGACTATATCCAAAAAATAGCTAAGTTCCTGCTGACTGCCAACGGTCAACAGACGAAGCAAAAGTTTAAGTACATGAGTATGAGTAACCATAACATAAAATTAAATGGCGAAACAGTTTTATTTAATTTTGGCAAACAAAGGAACTTGAATTTAGCATCAAATTAGTCTAAATCGTAGCAAATAGCTGCCATGTTAGTATTCGACTAGCGTCGGGTGCAGGAACAGATTATACAATAATTTATTTTCTGACCTACAGCTGACTTATCTACTACGTGAGAGTCTGACTTGTCTAGCATAAAAACAAAACATATTACAAAGAGTTGTTACTGTAAATAAAACAAAATATACCTAAGTTACATCTCTCATATCTCGAAAGAATTTTTTTTTATAGCATAAGCCGGTAAGCGAGCAGACGGATCACCTGATGGTAAGCAATCGGCGTCGCCCATGGACACCTGGAACACCAGAGGCGCTATAAGTGCGTCACCGGCCTTTTGGGGATTAGGAGTTTGAGGATCGTTGGGGATTCAGGAATTGGGGAGATTGGGGAAGAGGAGGGTAATTGGGCCTCCGGTAACCTCACACGACGAAACATAACGCAAGCGTTGCTTCACATCGGTTTTCTGTGAGGCCGTGGTATTACTCCGGTTGAGCCGGCCCAATCGTGCCGAAGCATGGCTCTTCCACACTTGAATAGGTGTAGTTGCATGAATGAACGAGGTATGTACTTTCTTATACATATAGGTATCATATATTTCAAAGAACCGATCAATCAAATCAATCCAATGTTTTCTGTCAAACCTGAACCTTTTCTAATACAAGTAAATGGCAAATTTTTATTTTTAATGTCTGTCTGGTACATTATTTAAAACAGTAGATACGTATTTTTTATTTTTTCCTTTCTTACAGAAACAAGTAGGTAGTTTCGACGATATATTGATTTGAAAAAAAATTCGAGTGAATAGGTTTCTTATGGGACGACGTGCTTCATCGTAGACCGCATTATCGCTTACCACCAGGCGAGATAGTAGTCAAACGTCGGCCCATCAAATAAAAAACAAAAATATCGCGTGACGTCACTTCTATGTACATTTTATACGTAGAAATGACGTTTTAACTCCCACTCATAAACTTTGATTCGTTATATCTAAGTAATGTAACCATAAACGAAAAAAATTAATAATACGTGTCTAGTATTTTTTCATTAGCTTACTGATGGACTTAATTGATTTTTAATTGTCATACCCTGTCATCCTCCCTGTTATAGCAAGCCTTCTTATGTAGTCTGTATATTCTCACGGTACATCTACCTACCCTATTAATATATATGGAACATGTAAAGGTTATATCCATTTGAACTAGAATAATACGTGTTCCGAATAATCAGTGTTGACCTCAGAAGCTGAATATTGTATTTAGTATAAAAAGCGACCTTGGAATCGTTGCAAAGTTATTGCGTTTTCCAGCAAGGACTAAAAGGACATACCTATTTATTACAGGATATCTTTTTTTGTTTTTTTGTGCAACAATGAATAATAATTTTATTGTTATTGATTTTATATTGGACAATAAATTAATGTTACCTACGATTTTTAGTTCTTGCAACACTGCTGTTCATTTTAGGTAAAAGTTGATGGGTGTTGTTTTTTATCTTTTTTAAACGACTAAATTATGATTCTTTTTTTAAATTTCTTTTGTTTATTTTTATTCTTTTTCGGAGAATTTTTTGACAGACTTAGCGTTCGTTAGGAAAACAAATATTCTTATAATGTCATTCGATTTTTAAAAATGTTTTTTAATTATTGTGTGTATGTGCGTGTGCCTATTTGAAATTCTCAATGTAGTCCCGTATGCGGAGTTTAAAGGTAGTAGTAATTTATTAAGTAGGTACCTACCTCTATTGCTTACAAATGTAAATAACTGTCACAAAAAACGCTAAGGTGAGTTTGTCAATATAATTAAATATTTTTTGCTTATTAGTGTATTATTCTATATCAAAGTAACACCTATTATTATAATTAGTCTCAGTACATTCTACTTACAAATTAATTTTAATGTCACATTGAAGTCACATATTTTTGTCTGAAAAAAATTCAAGGATAAGAACCTTTACTTGATGAATAAGAAAAACTGGATGTATGTACCTAGGTGCCTACCTAATGTTCAGTTATGTTGGTATTACAAATATCGTGAGTCATCATCATCAACAGCCTATAAATGCCCACTGCTGAGCAAAGCCTCTTCTCACACGGAGAAGGTTAGAGCATTAGTCACCACGCTTGCTCAATGCGGGTTGGCGATTTCAAACTTATAATTAGAAATTATAAGTCCAGGTTTCCTCACGATGTTTTTCCTTCACCGTTTGTCACAAATATCGTGAGTATTATTTTCAATCAGTTGCGTTTTATAGTTAACCATGAAACTGATCAACGGCATTCCTCAACTTGTTTCAAGCTACAATAGGGGCCCATAACTATAAGCAGCATGCACGAAAACCGACGTAACAAAAGTTGCAATGTGCTGTGCATGACTACCTAAGCCTTATAGCCTAATTGCAATTCTGTTATGTTTAGTCTCGTTAATGGCACCATTTCACCATAAAAATGGATCAACAACGATTCAGCAGTTTACGCGTTTAAGAGCTAAGATGCCACAGACAGACAGATATCAAGTGACCTCACCCTTGTTGGTACTTTGAGGTTGATCTCATGAAATTGTGTTTAGTAGTCGTACAGAATCTATTCTCAAAACTATAAGCATATCTAATGCACGGAAGAACAAAATAAAATCAAAACTATTTATGTCTCTACCTACCTTCTATAAACCAGTACTCCTGGTCGTTGATCCTCTTCACCAGCACCACGTCGCTATCCACCAGGATATCAGCATGAACTAGAGGTGTGTCATCGTCCTCATAGTTCAGGAGTAACCAACGGTATGGAGCTTTGAAATAACCTTCTTTGCTAGCCTACAAACAAAATCGTGAATTCAAAAAATAAATCTTTGATTTCGCAACTTCGCAACGAAATAAATCAGAAGATATTATTATTCGAGGAGAAGATATAACTAGTCTTCATTTCCGTTGAATTTTCTTGGCAGGAGATGGAATGATAGTTTTTTGCGTTGTGTTGTGTTTCGTCCTGTGAGTGAGGTTACCGAAGGCCCAATTACCCCATTTCTTCCCCAGTCTCGCCAATCCTTGAATCTCCAACAATCTTCAAATTCCTAATTCCCAAAAGGCCAACAAAGCCGTTACAAATGCAACGGCTCTGGTGTTCCGGGTATCCATAGGCGGCACCGATTGATTACAATCAGGTGATCCGTCGGCTCGTTTACCGACTTATCCCAAAAACTATTTTTTTTTTTAAGTTATGCTTACTTTCACCAGAAACCTGTCAGTCCCTACACAAGTCAGGTCGGCAATAATCAGGATGTACTGCAAGTCATACTCCGTCCTATTATACTGCAGCGAGGTGGCAGTGCTGACTCCTACCTCACACATACTCCTAGCCAAGGACTTAAGAGCATCTGTAACGAAAAAACACTGATAAAATTGATACATTTGTATCAAGCTTCCTTGTGCGTACTGCTAAGGAGTCGAATTCTTTGCCAGAGTCTGTATTTCCTGAAGGTGTCTTCAACGCCCGAGTGAATAGGTTGCTTATGGAACGACGTGCTCCATCGTAGATCGCCACATCGGTCCGTCAAATATAATAAAAATACAGGCTTTGTCTAGCAATCTTAAAAAAAAATGTGTTCGGGATCACGAGTTTGTGGCTACGCTGGCTGCCCCTACACCTCACCTTTATTCTTGTATAACACCTATGAATATCCAACTACCTATTCTTCTTGCTAGTACCTACTCTAGTAGGAGCTGACTAAGAGACTACACTTATAATAGAGATCAAGCAGCAGGGCTCTCAGATAAACCTGAAGCTTTTAAACTATGATTTCCGACCCTCTTGGCAAGCGAGGAGATTATGACTTAACTTCTTATGTAGAGGAGGCCCATAAGGAGGTCATTTTTGAAACGCTAATGCACTTTACAACTATGACTCTCACTCTTTTCAAAACCTATACCACACTATCCTTACTTACGTTGTTTCCAACACAAAAATGGTAAAAGCAAAGACACAGGCCTCTCGTCTAACGTAACAAAAGACAAGATGACATCGAAATCAAAATGGATACTTTCAATATTTTGTATCAAAAAAACGAATGAAGTCAAAGTAAGTAAAATATGGACGTCCATATTTCTGGAGGGCTCTGAAGAATGATAGAAAATGTATGTAAACGGGACAGGAGGTAAATAAGGGGGTTATTATATAAACATTATCATTTAGTATGCAAGCGCGCTTCTTGTAAGCGCTGCTATCGAGTTACAGTTACTAACAAAAGTGATTCGTTTTGGTTGCTTGATAATTTTAGGAAAACATGACGAGGAATTATAATTCCCATTCTGACAGAGCTGCACAATGTTCCCGGGTGATTTAACAAAAAAATAACGATGTCATTGTCCTCAAAACCAAGTTAACAATACTGGCAATTGAAACTTAAATTATGATATTGAAAAATGTAGCTGTGTCACTGGCAACAAACAATGCATTCAAATTGATGATACTAAGTTACTGATGTTTATTACAAGGATGGATGGAGGGTAAAAATTTGTTCAATAAATATTAGGAAAATCACCCGTCCACTAATAAACACCCAGTTTCCACCAGTTGTCCAGATAGAATTTCCTATTGTTATATACCTCTATAGAAAATACTTAAAATGCTTTTCAATCGACTTCAAAAAAAAGGAGGAGCTTCTCAATTCGAGGCACCGACTTCTCACCTATCAGTGGGTGTGTAAGCTATAAGTACGTATGACCAATAATAATTATTTTTTGCTTTTTAGTTGTTTACCTTTCGTTTGTTTTCAGTTCTTGAAGTTGGTTTTTTTAAATGCAGTTTTTTTATTTTATGGTATAAACGAGCAGACGGATACCTGATGGTAAGTAATCGACGCCGCCTATGGACACTCGAAACACCAAGGCGTTACAAGTGTGTTACCGGCCTTTTGGAAATTGGGGATTTGAGGATTGTGTGATTGATGCTGCGTCCGTCACAATACTTGAGTTCGAAAGTTGACAGAATATTCTCTGAAGGAGATAACATACCCTTAGTATACACAGCTACACATCGAGCTTTACATAACCAGTATAAACTGAACGTTAAATGTGCGGAAAGATGTTGCGACGCGACACCAGGATAAACTGGTTTTGTATTGATTGATGTGTGGTCGTGTGTACAACCACTAAGAACTTTAAACACTAGGCAACTACCTAAGTACCTTTGAGATTACCTAAATCGGAAAATCCAATACTTAGGTACTTAACAGTTAACCCGTCCAGTAATCGATCCACAGACGTCATAAAAATCAATAGAGTAACTCAATACAGGCAGTTAACGCAGTCCTTAGGTCCTAAAATGCCATTACTTAAAAATAATAGGAAAAACATTAGTCAACTAATTATTTTATTTATTTACCTGCTCATCCCTTTTAAGATTCTGCTAAATCTATGCAAAAAACGTACCCGGGTAATACAGTATGATCTCACTGTTTGCGTGTTTTAATATTGTAATTAAATTAATTAATATTCGTCATCAGCGGTCATCGTGGTCGTGGTCGTGTTAATAAAATGCATGGGTAGTACAGTACGAGGATATTTCTAGAAAATAGGTATCTTCCTTTCCTAATTACAAATACGACAGTAATTACCTTCCGTACCTTATTACCTTCGTAATAAGTATATTCATTCTGATGTCATGTCATCAGCCTAGATAAACAAGGTGGTTACTGTTGAACTGTCCAAAAAAAGTCTGCTAAGATTTTTAAAGTTTTCACGGAAACCTTATTAGGTAGACTTGCATGGAACTTTTTCTTTTTTTTTCGACGTTGTCCTACACTAGGATTTCCTACTATATCGTGGGTGCGTTCACATGCACATGACACCCAGACCCAGAGCAACAATTTGTGAATCACACAAAGATTTGCTCCGTCCGGGAATCGAACCTGTTACACGTTGTGTGGCAACCGGCTACCCCGCAAAGTGTATGTCTCCGTCGTAAAAATCGGTAGGACCTTCAGGGCTGGCGCCCCGAGTGCCCTTTGGTACTCTGCTCATTGAAAATAGACATAGAATTTTTTGTAGAACCAAGTGTTCAATAAACAATTCTGTGTTTTTTCTTCCTCTTATAATATCTACTGATTCACTTCGTTGCGGGAACCAAAACAGTTATTCATATCCCTGGGACGCACCGGACTTCAATGTACCAGTGTTTTCATGGTTGTATCTACTGTAGATCCTGACTTACAGGAGTTGCAGCGATTTTTGGAGGTTGTGGCGGGCATGTTCCATTAAAAAAAAAACAATTCTGTATGGTATCGTAAGTACTAAATGTCCTGCTTAATATTCAGCGTTAGCCAGTGATTGTACAAGCTCAGTGATACAAAATTATATGGCCGCTGTAATGATAGGTTGTAGTCTTGTGGAACAAAATTATCATAATATTTCACTTCAGAACCACACATTATAATACGGTTAACTCGTAAAGTATGGGGTACGAATGCCGCATCATTTTGAATCTTATTTCATTAAATAATAATGATGTTTGTTGTGGGTTTTTTTAACTGTCAACTATGTAGTAGTAATCCAATATAGGCATTGGTACATATGGAATATTAAATGATTATGGTTACCTAGATATTTTATAGAATAGGGATGATGACAGGGTATGAAAATCAAAAATCTAATTAGTCCGTCAATTAGGTAATGAAAAAATATTAGGCACGTACCTATTTTTTATTTTCTTGTATAATAAAATGATGAATCACAGTTTTGTAGTGGGGGCTAAAACGTCATTTCTACGTATAAAAGTACATAGAAGTGACGTCACGCGACATTTCAAATCAATATATCGTCGAAAGTATTCGTTTCTGTAAAAAAAAATATGTGTAAGTATAATGTTTTAAAATAATCTACCAGACGGACATTGAAATAAAAATTAGGCATCTACCCTATTGCCGAGGTTACGTAGATATTTTACCTTCGTAAACGAGAAGATGGATCACCTAATGGTAAGCAATCAGCGCCGCCCATGGACGTAAAATACACCAGGTGGGCAACAATTGAGTGTGTTGCAGGCCTTTTCGAATGGTCTCAGGGAAGACGGTGGCACAGTGGTCACGTGCCGCCGTGTACTGCAAGGCTCAAGGGAGACACCCGTCTCCCTAAGAATGTGCCGTAACAAGCGTTGCACTGTGGGGGCTCCGGAACAGGTTTCTTGTAGAGGACCCGATGCCCCTTACAGGTGTTGAGGGTGGCCATCGGGGTGGTTTTAGTGTGGTACGAATACCACACTCCCTAGTCTTTTATCCCCAAAAAGATAGGCAACTTTTGAAGGTTTCTATTCATTATCAAAATTGGGAATTTATTTATTTTCAGTATTGATCGTCCCACTGCAGGGCAAAGGCCTCCCTAGGATTAGAAATAGGAGTCTTAAAAGCTTTATTGACTTGAAAATAAAACGTTGTTGAGTTGAATAATTTGGAGTCTTTGTCTGTTTTGTAAGAAAAACTACAAAAAGTTTTCTAATCTCCATTTCTTTTTGGTCAAAACAAACACATTATGTTAATTATGCAATGTATTTAGGTATAACAACATAAATTCCGTATTGACAGACGTCAAAACTTATAGTGGACCCGGTTTTTCGCATTTCATTAGAATATTATTATAATAGTTAATTCAAAATTATCATAGAAATGTTAAATAATATTGACAAATTAATAAGAACGAGTTTTTGATAGGTTTTTTTTCTCTAAACTTGTTTGGTATTGAAGCATAAAATGTCACATACTGGCAACGATTTAGAAGTGTATTTTTTTATGGGGGGAAAATCATCAAATGACTTCTCCCGCCTAGGTGAGGCGGGAGGGAGTGTCAGACTATTACTGACTAAAAACCACTCCGTTCCTACTCCTGGCCTTCGAGCCGGAGCCCCGGTAACCAGAAGTGTATAGGATAAGGATTAATACTAGAAACAATATCATATTGACGTTAAGCACACTAATAAGTACAATAAAAGTGAAAGTTTCTTTATTTGCATGTTCGTCCGTCCATCACGTTGACACTATTGAATGGATTTCGATAAAATTTGGTATACATGCACGGTATGGGCTGACTTAGGTGATAGGACTTTTTATCCCGATTAAATGCTCCCATGGGATAAAACATGAATCATATTCTACGCGAAGTCGCAGGTAACAGCTAGTGTATAATAGGACTTTCTAGACTTATCTATACCAAACCTAGAACTAATAAGAGATAGACCACATTATGAAATATACATTTATGTTAGTAACAACTGAAGAAAATTCATTACTATGTTTCAAGACTATGCTAGATATAAAGTATTGACAGACTGCACGGTTGGCGCAGTGACTGGTTGTTTGGCTACTGCGCAACAAGGTGTCAAGGTTAAAAGTGACAATGCCATTTTCGGAATAAAATGACCATTTTTAGACCGGAGTCAGGGACTTCAACGGTGTTTTCCGTCCTCGTGGCTCGGAAAGCGCGTAAATCTGTTGGTCTTGCGCCTGAACTCTCTCCGATCGTGTCGGTCTACCGTCCCATTGGGTTCAGAGAGTGGAGGAACAGAAAATACACTTATGTCTGTACACACACTTGTGCACTATAATATCTCCTGCATAGTGGGTTAGTCTAGTTAGACTTGCCACCATGGTCGAAATCGATCGGGAGACATTAATTAAATTTAAAACCGACATAAGTTTCGTATAAAATGTGCAAAACTTTATCTACTGACAGGTACCAAAGTAGATTTTAGGTATTTATAGTCTGTATTTCCTGAAGGGTATAAACCTGGGTGTCTTTAAGGCCCGAGTGAATAGGTTGCTTATGGGACGACGTGCTCCATAGTAGATCGCATCATCGCTTACGACTAGGCGAGATAGTGGTCAAACGTCGGCCCGTCAAAACATATATAATAAAAGATTAATAACTGGTTAAGTTACATGTTAATAAATAACTACAAAATACCAATAAGTACTTGAGTGAAGTCTAGCGCGTAGTCAGATAGAATTATAGGCTCATTTCCAGTCCTAATGAAGTGATTAATGAATTCTTTAGTGTTTATCTCATTGGAGTATTTAGCTACCATAATAGTAATGGTCAATCACGGAATATGT